TGCTATTTTACTTTCTTGATTAGGTCACCGGTACCCTACCCTAGCCTTAAACCTCGGTTAGGGTTTTCTTAGGGTTTTTGTAGGGTTTAGTGTTCCTCAAACCCCCCCCTACTTCCCCGTCCTCTTCGGGCACCCTGGACCCGAACMACCCCTCCCCCTTTGACGGCGCCCGTGCTAGCCTTGCTAGCGGCGTTCGCCGCTTTCTACCGCGGACTTCCCCCTACGCCCTCCGCTCACGCGGACCTCTTCTGGCCCCCTCCAGTCCGGTCCGTCATCTCCCCATGGCCGACGGTGCGTCACACGCCGTCGACACGGCAATGACCACGGCATCGGGCTCCACACCCGTGCCGGCGGACCAGGGCCATCATCCCCAGGGGGATCTACACACCCTCCTCACCTCCCTCCTTGCGCTCGTCCAGGCGCAACTTGCGACCCTCGCGCCCATCTAGGCGCAACTCGCGACCCTCGGGCCCTTACAGGCGCAGGTGGCGACCCTTGCCGCAGGCGTGCAGCAACTCCAGGACGCTGGTCGTCCTTCCTCTCCTCATCCTCTCTCTTCTCCTGGCTCTCAGTCCGGGTCCCCAGTTCTCCGACAGGGTGGCCACGGCGGAGTTTCCTCCTCTGCCGCCCCCGACCCGGCCATTTTGGTGACCGTCCACGCCCCTAGCTCGACGGCCGCCACGAGTCAGGCCCTTCCTAAGTCTACGGGCGCACCGGCTCAGATTCTGGTTACGACGGCCACGGGACCACAACCCGTTACCATGGTCTCAGCGTTTCCGGGTGCCCCGCTCCTCCCCCCCCTTCGCACGACCGCAGCGCCACCTTRCTCTCYYCCCTYTGGGATGCCCCGCGCCGCTTKWGCATCCACTTCCTCCACTCTTCCCYCTGCTACCCYTCGCACRACCTRCGTYCGRGGTCTCGAGGACGAGATTGCCCAGCTYCGGKCCAACCTCGCCCTCTTACGCCTTYAGCCACCCCCMCCCTCACAGGTGGCCGCGCCTTCGGGCGCACCCCCTACCTCCTCTACCCTTCCTCCCACGCAGGCTCGCTTTCCGCGCCCTGCACCCTATACAACTCCTTCCTACTACTCCTGCGGTTGCTGCGACCTCTTCTACCACATCACCCTCGCAGCCTGCCGCTGGTTGCACCGCCGCTCCCCCATGCGGCCCGGGCGCACAGTCAGTTGCGCCCCTTTCTCCAGGACCTGCGCCGACTTACTCAGTCGTGGCACAGGCCTCCGCTCCTCGATCCCCTCGCCGCCAAAACGGTGACGCACCACTCATCCGCTTGTCGGACATTGCCTTGTATGACGGTACAGGCATACGCGTATTTCGGTGGCTGCAGTCTTCCACCCGCACACTCCAGCTCATGGGCGCCACACCCAAGACGTAGGTGGGTCACCTCTCCACGCGCCTGCGTGGCGGTCCCTTCGAGGTCTGGGAGGATTTTTATGCCTACTCCCTTCGTGAGGGTCGGACTCCGACCTTCGTGGATTTCCAGGCGTTCCTCGAAGATCGCTTCGGAGCCCGATACGACGTGACTGACGCCTTCGAGCGTGTCGTCACTACACGCTGGTCCGGCTCTGGTGGCTCTGGTGGCGCTGCCGGCCTGGATCGCCAGGACGCCCGCCTCCTTTGCGACGTGGCGTTGCTCCCCGAGGCTGCCCTTATCGATCGTTTCTTCGCCAGCCTTCCGCTCGAGTACCGCTCCGAGCTATGGCGGTACGAGTTCACATCGGCCCCACAGGCTTACGAGGCCGCCAGGGGCCACCAGCGGATGCGAGCCCGTCTTCACCCCGCCTCCTCCTCCCAGCCCCAGTGCACGGGCTACGCCTCCTCCTCCTCTCACGGCACTTCCCAGCACCGTTCCCCTTTCCGCGGTCGCCCCCGCCATTCCACGCAGCAGGGCCGCCACTTCTCGCGCCGCTTCAGCGCGCTGGAGAATGGTGAGCAGGACGTTGTTGCCCCACTCTCATCTGAGGGCGACCATAGCGACGACCTCGATCTCTGCGAGGCCGTCCACTATCACTTGGAGGACTCTACCCTCCCTGCAGTTGAGCGCCTTCAGCTCGCACTCTCTGCCCTCTCTCGGGCACGCAGCCGCCCCAGTCACGCTGGCGCATCGCCCCCCGAGGTCCCTCAGGAGAACCTCCCTCAGGGCTTCGTCCCTCCTCGTGGTGTCCTTTCCCCTGAGAGCGCGCGGCTATTCTGGGCCGGCGTGGGTGTTTGCGCTGCCGCTTGGACGGTCATACCTCCTCGCGGTGCCCTTACACTACCGCCCTCGACCGCCACTACGCGGACCTTTCTCGTCAGCGTCGTGCTCAGTCCCCCCCCGGCGCCTCATGTCCCCGCGGCGCCTCCTAGCCACGGTGCAGTGTACACCTGCGCCCTCCTCAGTAGTGGGCTTCCCGACATCTCCGTCGCGGTTCGCCCCTCTCGCTATTGGAGTTGAGGTATCGCAGGACTCGGCAGAGTGTACTCCGCCCTCTGTCGCCGTACCGTCTGCGCCTCCGCAGACCACCGTCTCCCCTCCTCCCCCGCCACGACTACTGACGCGTCGAGCAATTCGCTCAGCCTGTTGCAGCGAGCAGCTTGCTACTCGCGAGGACGTTGTGTCCTCTCTTCTGGACTTGAGCATGCTCCAGCCTCGTCAGGAGCGACTCACCCTCCATGTCGCTGCACTACGTCGCCTTCTCGCCATCCCCTCCGACCCTGATCGCACCCTCCCGATCATCCCCGTACGACTCGGGACCTCCACGAGGGTGTACTCAGCGCTGTGGGATTCCGGTTCTCAGGGCGACTTCATTCACCCACGCGTGGTGAAGGAAGCCCGCTTACCCACGACAGGGTCTCCGACTCTCATCTCCGTTACCCTAGGGGATGACAAGACCCAGCGCTTCTTCGATCAAACGGTCACCGACCTCCCCTTCTTCCTCACTCTCGAGCCGACTGAGCGTTCCCTGGCGTCTCGTCGCCACCGCTCCTCTGCACATTTCGATGTGATGGAGACGGGGTACGACTTCATTCTCGGCACTCCGTGGTCTCGTCGATTCCGCAGCACCGAGGCCGATTGGGCGACCAACACTCTCGTTCTCAAAACGAAGTGTGGACARACGTAYCGCGTACCTTTCATAGGTACCACGRCGACRCCACRCCCCGATCCTCCTCCCCCGGAGCCTTCAGTGCCCACACCATCTCCCTCTATCACTGTCACCTCGCCTCGGCAGTTBGYTCACTTCATTCGACAGGACGAYGTYACCTTCTTTATGGTGGACGTGACRGATCTCTTACACTATRATCCACCCTGTCCCGACGCCGAGCTCATCCCTCTGGAGCCAGATCCTCCCTCTATCTCCATGGCTCCCATCTCTACTTCCGTCCCTCCGCCGTCCGTCGAGTCCACCCCGCCGTCGCGCGCTGACGCTGACGCTGAGGAACTCGCACGATATACGGATGACTTGGAGCCCGCAGTTCGTGACCTCATCCGAGAGTACCGCGACGTTTTCTCATCGTCATTCTCGTACGCCGGCATCCCACCGATGCGTGACGTCAAACACTCCATTCAGCTCGTGCCTGACCATCGTGTTCACCACCAGGCACCCTACAGACTCTCGATCCCCGAGGCCACCGAACTCAATGTCATCTTGAGGAGCTCCTGAGACTGGGTTTCATTAAACCCAGCAACTCCCCGTGGGGTGCACCCGTCCTCTTTGCTCACAAAGCGGATGGAACTCTTCGTCTCTGCATCGACTACCGCGGCCTCAACCGCTACACGGTTAAGAACAGCTACCCCATGCCTCGTTCCGATGAGTTGTTCGACCGCCTAGCAGGCAACCGCTTCTTTACGAAGATTGATCTTCGTAGCGGTTACCATCAGATCCGCGTCGCTGCAGCCGACCAGCCGAAGACCGCGTTCCGATCGCGATTCGGCCACTACGAGTTCACGGTGATGCCATTTGGCCTCACCAACGCACCCGCTACCTTCCAGAGGGCGATGAATGACATCTTCAGGGACATCCTGGAGCAGTACGTTCTCGTCTACCTCGGCGATATCCTGGTCTATAGTCGTACCCTTGAGGAGCACCTCAGACACCTCCKCGACGTCCTTGACCGCTTGCACAGACATGGCTTCTACGCCAAGCTAAGCAAGTGCGGGTTTGCCCAGCACAAAGTGGATCTCTTAGGACACTACGTGTCTGACCAGGGTCTCCACATGGACAATGTGAAGATCACTGCTATTGCGGAGTGGCCCGCTCCCACATCCGCCAAGCAGCTTCGCAGCTTCCTAGGCCTGACCAGCTACTATAGTAACTTCATCCGGGGATACGCTAAGTATTCCTACGTCCTTACCTCCACCATCCTCCGGAAGAACCCACCCTGGGCTTGGACACCCCTCAACGAGGACGCCTTCCGCGCCCTCAAGAAGGCGGGGACATGCGCACCGGTTCTTCACCTACCCGATTTTGACCGCCCTTTTATCCTTACCACCGATGCGTCAGACTTCGCTGTAGGATGAGTGTTTTCTCAGGTCTTCCCCTCATCTCCTGATTCCTCTCACCCTCGTATCCCTCGCTTCCCACCACCTACCCCTACCACTCTTTCCCGACTAACGCCTACTCGTCCAGCTACTDACGAGCCTTCTATTGACTATTCTCCTACCATCACCGAGGACGGCACTGTCGAGTCTCGCTCAGGTGATTGTCCGATAGCCKTCTACTCCYGTCAGCTCCTGCCCGTCGAGATAAACTACACTGCTGATGAACGTGAGGTTCTCGCAGTAGTTTATGCCGCTCGGCACTTGCGTCACTACCTGCACGGGGCACCATTCACGGTGCGCACGGACAACTTTGTTGTCCAGTCTTTTCGGACAAAGCCGAAGCTCACTCCTCGACAAGCTCGCTGGTGGCGCGACCTATTCGAGTTTAGTTTCACCACTGAGCACATCAAGGGTGAGACTAATTGGGTCGCAGATGCCCTATCCTGGCGCCCTAACCACGACCAAGAGCACATCCAGCTCTCTTCCATCTCGGTCAGCACCGTCCACCACTCGGTGATCGACGAGTTTCGCACTGAGTACCGCCACTGCCCCAACTATCGCGACATCCACGCGACCCTTCGGAGTGGGAAGAGCGTCCCGAAATACTCTCTCGAGGACAACGGTCTTGTGTACTGGCACGGTTCACAAGGCACCAGAGAGCCCCGTATTTGTGTTCCCTCCACTGAACAGCTACGTGTCCGAGCAGTAGCAGAGTTCCATGACCAGGCAGTTGCCGGTCATATGGGCTTTCAGAAGACGTTGGCTTGTGTGAGCCGCCTGTACGTCTAGCCGAAGCGCAAGGACTTTGTGAAGGACTACGTCGCAGAGTGTCCCACCTGTCAGGAGGTGAACAGTGCGAACCACCTACCTTATGGTTTGCTCCTGCCTCTTCCTATCCCTAAGGGTCGTTGGCAGTCCATCTCGATGGACTTTATCGGTCCTCTTCGACCTCCGACCGCCCGCGGTCATGATGCTATCCTGGTCATCGTCAACCACTTCACGAAGCGTGCACGCTTTATTCCGTGCCGCTATGCCATCACTGCACGTGAGGTCGCCGACATCGTCTTTGACCGAGTCGTGCGTGACCACATCTTACCTCTGAGCATCATATCTGACCGTGACCCGCATTTTACCAGCGGATTCTGGCCACGGCTCCACGAGGTGTACGACACTCAGCTCCGCTTCTGCTCGTCTTACCATCCTCAGACAGATGGTCTGACCGAGATCACCAACAGAACTCGGGGATATTCTCCGAAAGATTGTTCGTGACGACCAGCAGTGGGATCTCCATCCTGCCCACGCGGAGATAGCCTAAAACCACGTCGTCTCGCCAGCCACGGGGATGTCGCCTTACTATTGCGACCTCGGCTATCATCCGCGTGTTCCCGCGGACTTCCTTCGACCGTCCCTGATGCACCCCGACACGAGTTGTCCTGCGCTGGATGATTGGGTTGCACACATGACGTCGATTATGAAGACCGCACATGAGCACATAGCCACTTCCCAGACTC